ACCTAATCGACCAAATCGTCTCCTAATTACATAAACTATATTTATAAAAATTTTCATTATAATATTCCAACGTAATTATAAAAATATAATATAAATATTTTTCTATATATTAATTAATATAAATAACTAATACAGTTAAATTAATATAGAAAAATTTTACAATTTTATTAGAACTAAATAATTGAATTAAAAAAAGAATTGTAATTTTCGTAAATATTTTTTTTATGTAAAATTTTGAATTGGTAAATTCAAATTGTGCACTTCAACAGGTGTCTAGAGCCGAAAGGGTTTTTAAGTACCAATAATTTTACCTGTACTGCTTTTTTTTATTGCTGAGTCATTATATTATACTAATTTTTTGAGGTATAAATATAGAATGAACGTGTAATTTATGCAAAGTGTGCATATTTTTATGCTTCCTGCTTTGTAATGCTCTCGCACAATTTTAAATAAATATCATCCACTTAAAACAGAGTAGATACTTAAAATTCAAGATCATTAAGCAATCGAGTCAATGAGATGAAGTCATGGTGTAAATGCTTCCACGGATTTCATTTATTTTTCATATGAACTTTATTTTATTAAGTTTTTACTTTACAATAATATTATCTTTTTTTCCTATATAATTTTATATTATTATCTCTTTTTTATATTTTTTTTTCGATTAAAGATCAATGGAATATTCCCAAAATATTTTTACAAAAAAAAAATTGTTTGTAGAAATATATACAAAACAATAATTTTTATAAAAAAAAATTGTTTATAGAAATATTCAAGTAAGTGATATAATTGAAAAAAGAAATATTTTCTACAATGGTAAAAGAAAATAATTTTAAAAAAATTATAAATATGCCGGCGCCCGCTTTAGTCTCATTAAAAATGTATTTTTTTTCTCTTTTTGATAACTTTTAGAAATATGGTGAGGTCAAGGACCGATTTTAATAAACTTTACTGCACCTGCCGATGTAATTATCAGTTGACATTTGATTATTCAAGGTTCACCTTGAATTTAATGCGTTTACGTTTCTATAAGCTGCACTCTATATGAGTTTATAAAAAACCACGACATATCTATATTTATAGCAAAAATTATTAATAGAAAATTATTTATAGAAAAAAAATTTTTTTTTTTCAATAAATGTTTATGATTTTTCATCAGCTGAAGGAAGATTAATGACTTAAAGAGTACCTACTGATTTTATATATATATAAAGAAAGTGTGTGAATTCAGGTCAATGTAATGTATTGTCTAGGAAACGCACTTAAAGTCATTTAGGTATCTATAGCCAGACAAGTTTTATTTTTCTTTTCTTGGAGCATTCTTTTTTTTAATAATTAAGATGTACTGACAATTTTTTGCTTTAATCTACTACGTTTTCAATTAAATAATTTTTAATTCAATTAATTAATTTGTAATCTAATTTATTTAAAATTTAACCCATTTAAATTTCAACTCAACTATTTAATTTTTAATCTGATTTATTAATTTTTAATCTAATTATAATTATTCAAATTCAAATTAATTTTTCAACTTATTTTTAAATTTAATAAATATGAATTTAAAAAAAATTGAAATATAATAAACTCTCTTGCAATTAGTCGTTTTAGTAAAATTTTTCGAAATAATTTTAGTTTACCTCTTACAATTTGTATCTGTTTTTTTTATTTTTAGCCTTGAATACTTTTTACTTTGAACTATTTCATTTTATTCTATATATGATTTTGCGTCTCTAATTGAAGAGAGACATGTGTATCGATTATACTCCCCAATTCTTGAGCCTTTCGACAAACTTGATAATTTATTCCTAAGACTAAAATAACTTTATTGAAAATAGTGTATATTGACAGAACTGCCCAAATGAAAAGAAAAATAGAAGCAATCGATTCGTTTCAATAAGGGGACAAAACTGTTGTTCGTGGTTCAGTCTCAGTTCGAGGGGATTTTGTAAGGTTTCATGAAGCTGGATTAGTTGGCCTCTATGCCTACACTCGACTGCTTTTGTGATTATAATATATATATATATATAATATATGACGCAAAATATTTGTCTCAACACACAATAATATATTTTAACAAGATTTTCCAAAATATTTTTAATACGATTTTTTTTATTCAATTAACCAATTGATACTTTTTTTCTATCTTTTTCTGTAATGATGAAAATCGTAATCTAAATTAGTAAAAATATTAACTAATTTGAATTATAATTGCTAATTAATAAAAAATGATTTTAATTTATAAAAATAAGAATTAAGTTAAATTTTACAAATGAATTAGTAAATAATAATTTTTGCACTAATTAGTAAAATTTAACACAATTTAGTTTTAGAAATAAATAAGACATTTTTTTTAACTAAATTAGTAAAATTTAACATATTTTAATTTTAGAAATGAATTAGTCAAAAAAAAATTTAATTAATTCATAGCAGAAAGTTAAATAGTTATAGATAAATTTTATTTTTGTAAAAAAAATTATCAATTTGGTTTTTAATAAATTATTACACTTAAAAATATAGAAAAATAAATTTTCCAAATATAAAAAATATACTATTAAAAATTTTTGTATATCTTTTTTTTTTAATTTTCAGGTGGATAAAGTGAATACAATAAAATAAAGAGTGTAAAGTTAATATTCTGCTAGATGGCAGTATCGATGTGAATTTAAGTTTCTAAATTATGATTTCGACTGAGGGTAAAATTCCAATGTTAAATTTAAGGGTTGATTTCTCGGTCTAATCTCATCTATTTTCACCAGTCGGTAGTGTAGAAAATTTCCAATAGAGCTTTATCAACCCCCGGGGGTGTTTTCTGTGATAGTTCAATTTACCCGTCCTGTTAATCGATTTTCACTGCATGTGATCAGATTCTCATTAATGCTGCACAATTGAATTTAATTATAGCAAAAAAATTTTTTTTTAATTAAATAAAAATAATTAATTTTTAAAAATTTTCAAATTCAATTCTATATAATTTCCAGAATATTTTCATTATAAATTAATAAAAATATTCCACATTGGAAATATTTTTGCGAAACATTCCTAAAATATGGGTAAAATAATAATTCCGGAATTATTCCATTAAATATTGAAGGATTGTGATTTTTTTTTTAAGAATAACACGAAAGGAAGATTTTTAGTAAAAACGTAAATTTTTCAAAGAGAAAAACTTAATGAAAAAGCGAAACCTTGAGAGACCAAACACGCAATGTATAATTTTTAATTAATTAACGTTGGGAATTTTCGTTGTAAGTGTTAATTTGATTATAATATGAATGAGAATATTTATTCAAGATACAGGAATAGAAATTTGAAAATTTAACTTTTGGTTGGCATTTTATCTGAATGATGGCACATAATTTTGACGAATCCTATATTCTTAAAAAAGAAATTAGTAAAACTAGGAAATGCCTAAAATTTGATTTATCATTTGTAATTTTCATCTTTTAATTACAAAACGCAATTATAAACTGGGGCATGTCTTCTAAAGATAGCACGTTAATGCTTTCTAAATGATTACCAAGTTCTTCATTAATGGTTTTGACTTATAATTTTATATTTGTTTGTGTAATTTTGAAATGATAAAAAATGAAAAAATTGTTTCTGAAATTAATAACTAAATGAAAAAAAAAATGTAAGAAAATAAAGCAATTAAAATTTTTTAAATATAATTTTTGCTAATATGTAATTATTCTTTTGTTTGTTACAGGTATACAAAAGGAATTACATCATTTTTAATTGGAGTATCAAAGCGATTTCGAATTCTGTTTAATTTAGATAAGTATCTGTATTTTATTTACTTTTATTTTTTTATAAAAGCTTGTAAAATTTTGATTAATTAAATAATTAAATTACCGAATCAATAATTAAATGTATTAATAATTAATTTGAGTTATTAATGTTACATGAAAAAATTACATAAAAAAGTTTTAAAAAAAATTGATTTAGAAATACAAGGGGCAATTTTTTTATGAACTTTTTTTCATTACGTCTCAGCTTTTACAAGTAATGTGAAACGGATAATATCTCAATATATTCGCTAACAGAAAGCAAGTGGCTCTAAAGAGCGTTAAACCGATTCCAAAGGCACGACCTCCTTTAACTTCTATATGTGGCATGTATTTATATATATGTTTCAAGATCTGTGACCAGCGTGAATGGTTTCGTGATGTACTTCCATTTGATATGATCAGTATAAAGACCAGTGATAAAAGAGAAAGATGTCGGCGCCTTGAAACGACTTATGAATGGTCAACTTGTTTGGCAAACTCATAAAACACAAGTAGTGTGTAAGCAAAAAAAAAAAAAAGAAAAAAAAACACACAAGAACTCAAGTCCGATAATTTCCGTCGTGAAAGTTAATTATAATATTTACTGAATTAATTGAATTATTATTATACTTAAAAAATTTATTTGATTCAAATAATCGGTTACTTGAATATTATCAAATAAATATTTACCTGAAATAATTTTTATTTGAATTAAATAAATTTTATTTGGACCAATAATTTCTGTATTTTAAACAAATACTATTTAATTGGCTCAAATAAAAATTATTTGATAATAATCAAGTAATCGAATATTTGAATCAAATAAATTTTTTTAAGTGCATTCTCTTATATTAAATTAAAAAAATTATCTACACAATTAATATTTTTTTGAGAAAGCTAATTTTCGATTTTTTAAATTTGAGAGATAATCCTTAACGCCTAAAGTATTCCAATGGAATATTTTTACAGTATTTGAAAGTAATATTCCTAAAATAGTGTTTCAAAGGAATATTCCTAAAAAGGACATTTTAATATTCCTGTAATATGGATGGAATATTCCCAAGATTACAATGGAATATTGCATAGAATAGAATATTCGTATTTAATTTTTTCAAAAAAAGTAAATTTTGTAAAATTTTATTTCAAAAAAAAAACAAAATATATTTATATTTATCGTATAATGGGTTAGAAGATAAAGTTTTTCGTGCGAAATTTTTATGTTAATTGATAGTTGAAGTAAAAGTTAATAATCGACTTAAAAGCGAAGGAAACTCCCACGTTTACTTTTCTTTTCGCGCAATTTTACATGACTCAGGATATCGAGTTTGTGTGTGTGTGTGTGTTTGCTATAAGTGTATTGGGTTAGAGGTAAGCTCGTCGAGCGCAGGAGCAAAATGAATAGAACAGGACGAAAGTCGACGATTCCGCCAGACAGACAGACGGACGCGAGAAAGGACAAAAGTGAGATGGAGGGTAGTAGCTCACCGGGTTCGAAGTCGTCAACCGTCTAGACTCTTTCTAATACTTATATATATATAACGATAAACACATGGAAACTTGAGCCTTGGTAAGTTTCAAGCTTTTTTCCATAACTTTTTTGCAAACACTCTCAAAGGATACAATTATCAATATTTTATAATTTTTTTTTTTTTTTAACAAATTCTATACATTTAAAATAGTTTTTATAAAAATGTTGATCTTGGGGAAATAATAATTTTATTTATTTAATTTATTAAAAATATATTATTTAGAATATTTTCTTTTTTTCTTAAGAAGAAATTAAAAAATAATCTTTATTTAGAAAATAGATATTTAAAAAAAAATTGAGTATAATTTTTAAAAATAATAAAATTATTTCTTTATAAAATGATATAAAGTAATAAAAATTAAAATTTAAAAGTGTATAACTGTCGTATTTGCACTAACATATCGATTAAGTTACAATTTTATGTATATAATATTAATTCATTGGCGTGACACATCCTGCGTGTTTAATAGAGAACACTCTGGATGGATTATTATTGAATATGTGTTTCATTTTGTGGTGTATAATCTTCTTTTTACTGTTTTGTAAACCACTTGCCTTATTTTAATTATATCTCAAAATTTATGAATGTCGTGACTTTTTATTTGAATCTTTTTTTTTTTTTTTTTTTTTTTTTTACATTAATGGTAATTATTATGAGACTTTTTGTGATTTAAATCGGTGATTTTATTTGATAGTGTAAAATACTTAAAATACAGTCGAACCTCTTTAAGTGGGACGGCTCATTTGTTTCCAAATATTTTGTCTTACATATTTTATATTTTTTTTTTACCGAATCATTTGAATTATAAATGACAAATTAAATAATTTTTAATTAGTAATAAATATCGGAAATAATTTCTCATTTATCCAGGTTCAACTGTATTATCAGAAAAAAATTCCAAATTTGTATCCTTTGAGGTGAAAATTAAACTTCAATTTTTCAAGTAGAAATTAATTGATCGCTTTTTTATATTCATGTTTTATTTATAGAAGCACTAAAAGTAATTCTTGAATATTTGCACCTAGACTAATTTATTATACCACTGCAAATTTAGTTTTTTAAAAAAAAAATTTTTTTTTTAATAATATAAAAATAATTTCTTTTTTCTTACAAAAATAGAAAGTTTAAAAAATTTTTTTTAGATCGTAAAAAAAATATTGAAAGTAAATTGCAAAAATAAATAGTGTGAAGTAACAAAATAATACCAATCATGTGACACATTTTTAAATTCTTAGAAAAGCTTTGTGATCGATAGGATAAATTCAGTGTGTATAGAAAAAAAAAGTAGGCGATTCTTCTTTTGATGAAAAAGATAAAACTTTCACCCTAACGAGTTTTTCTACATTCCTTTAAATATAATTCTTCAAAAAGGGGAAAAAAAAGAATCATATAAAATGTAGGACAACTATTTTTTTTTCTTTTACTATTACTATCGTTTTTTTATTATTATAAATTTATATATGTATATTATCTTCGGGTTTTATATATATTGATTGAAAAAGAATGGTTCGAATTAAATAGGTTATTGCAACCAGGAAATAAAGATGAATAACTGATAAATTTGTATGTGCAACTAAAGTACATGACAACATAGTGTAGTCCCAGAGAGTTGCATTAGCAAAGATTCATCAAATTGATAGAGAAATTCCATTTTAATAAAAAAGTCTACATTATATTTTCTATCAGTCACTGTCCTCTACATTGACAAAATATTTCAATAATTAATTAATTTTTTTTTTTTAATTATTTCGAGATTTTTTTTCTCGATTTGTTCCCTCCTTGACATTTCGTTGTTATTTTTTTATTTAAAAAAAATTATTTTTGATTTTAATAAAATAAATTTTTGATAAAAATCATTTAAACTTTTAGCTTAAAAATAACCGCATTGGGAAATAAAAATTTTATGTCAATTTTATTGCATTATAATTTGCAACAAAGAAATGTAATTTATTCTACGCGAGCATATTTTTTTTTTTTTTTGTTATTGATATATAATGACCCGAAAATGGATTTGGGGTTTTTACGAGGATGAGGTTAAAAGGGTGAGCGCAGAAATTTCGATGCTTCGTTTTCGTGCATTCAAGACTGAATAACGTTTGTTTGCCACGAAATGTCTAGGTAGAAGGCTACGATCGATTTCCATGGACGGAAGCAAATCAAATAAATCAAGGAACTGCGTTTCATAGTGGTACCACGCACGAAGGAATTTAAGTGATAAAAATTTAAATGAATTCCATAACACACGCATTTTTTTGGGGGGGGGGGGACAAAAAAAATTTCCTATTTTTCTATTTCTTAAAAAAAAAAATTTATTAAATTTTCTTAAAATTTTCAAAAAATATTCCTTTATTATTAACTGTGGTAACATAATCCAAATACGAAAAGTAAAATTATTTACATATAAATATTAAATTTTAAAAAAATTTCAAATTTAAAATTTTAATGTAAATTATCTTGTTTTCTAGCATTGCAAAAAAATCCTGAAAATTTTCTCAAGAAAGAGGGACATTTTTTCAAAATGTGAAGAAAATTGATTTTCAAAAGAATAGAAGGAGGAAAACTAATTTTTCCTCAATGATCAAAATTTTCCAAAACTTTTCTCAATAAAAAATTACCATTTGGAAATTTTTTTCCACCACAAAGATATTTTAAAATTCAAAACAACCCTTTTTAATTAAAACAAAAGTGGAGATAAAAAATTTTTGAAAAAGTGAATATTTGAACAAATATTCATTATATTCTTATTAGAGATGAGAATGTAAATATTAAAAAAAAGCAAATCCTTTGAAAAATTACTAGAGAATTTTATGGAAGAGTAGATAATTTTTTTTTTCTCAAAGGTCGAAAAATTGGAACGCTTCTGTTAAAAACTTTTTTTTGCAAAAGAAAGTCTCGAATATAGATACTTCAAAAAAAAAAAGGGTTTTTAATATAACAGGAAGAAGATCACGAATTTCCGTGTGCATACATTGCCACGTGTGCATTAAGTACATTTTGTGTGTGTATATGTACTTATGTTAATGCAGAAAATGCACGTTTTAAAGCTTATGTATATACGAACAAGAGAAAGGAAACACGCTCATTCATAGTTGGATCAATACTGACTTCTAATTGCATTTTCCTACTTAACAAAAAAAAGCGAAAAAAAAGATAGTATTTTTTCAACCGGAAGTGACATTGCTAATAAATATCTCTTTTCTTTATCGTCAACTTGTTCGAGTCACGGCTTTTAAGATTCTTTTACATCTTTATTTCTTGTTTGAAAAAACGAAATATATGTTTCTAAATTATCGCTCAAAGTAAACGATATCAATTTCTCAAAAAAAATAAATAATAAAAAAGTTAGTATAAAAAAATATTTTCATTTTTTTTAAAAAACAAAATAGTTTTTAAAGAAACTAATTTAATAAACAAAAAATAAAAAGAAATGCTTTACTTAATACAAGAGAAATAATTATTTTAAAATTTAAATCAGAAGAAATAAAAATGTAATTATTGAAAAAAATTCATAAATTTAATTTGTACGCTTTGTTAAAAAAGAACAAAAAAAATGTCTGGAGGTTAGAAAAGGTTAACGATCGAAATTGCGTTTTAATTTTATTTTATATTTGCATAAACGTGATTTTATCAAACTATACGAATTCGAATTTCGTCTCTTTAAAGATATTCTTGAGAATTCATTTAATATTCAAATTGGTCCTTTCTTCATCAAATAAACAACGGAAATTGGTCTCGCTTTTCACTTTATAGGCGCTACATGTGGTATAGAATACAGCTAATTGTTGAATCTCATCTTCATTTCGTTATCAGAAATAGATAATTGTTTTCAGATAATATCCTTTTAATGCTAACATTATCGTTTTCCAATTAAGTTCCAATCGCTTCTAAATGTTTACTAAATATTTATTTATTTATTCCAAATAAAAGATTATTTTGGTTCAAAATAAAAAATTTATATAAAATAAAATTTTATTTGTACAAAAAATGTTTTATTCGAAACAAATAAATAATATTATTATTATCTCTCGGAGAAAAATGATTTTTGTTTTATCTATATAGAAAAATTAGAACGATTTAAAAGAGGCGACACTATAAACTTAATTATTCGCGCAATTTTTCTTGTGATTATGGGCTAATGACTTGTCAGGAAAGGCGTGTATATTCTCCAAAGCAACTATTAGCATGAAACACGAACTTTCATGAAGAAATTAGCATGGAATTCGTCAAGGTTGATTGTCGATAATGGAGTAACGTGAGCTTATAAATTTCGCAGTTTCAAACAATGGTCTCGCGTGTCTTCTTAATTTTTTTTTTTTTATTCATTCGGTCACTTTTCCATTGATTGAACAACAAATTACCAATTTTTTTTTAATTATATGTATTTTTTTCTTATACTGCTTTAAAATTTATAAATTTATATTCATATCTCAAAAATTGCTGCTACAATGAATAAAAGTTTTAATTTAATTAATTTTTCTACAATAAAATTTAATTTTTTCTCATTTTTAATAATTAATTTCTTATAGAACAGAAAATTTATTAATCGCTTCCCTTCAGTCTATTTAACTTGAATTTCTATATCAGAAAATTGGAAATGAAATTCCTTATATTCCAACATGAATTTCAAGGTATTTTGTCATTGAGCTTAAAACAAAATTGTCTTGTCATAACGTTGACACAGTTAAAATAGTCTTTGATTTATGGGTCCGAAATTACTTCTGAAAATTCTGGGTCATCGATCATCAATTATAAACAATATTTTCTCATTATATTTGAGATCATTGCTATACATTTTGTGGTTCAATCAATGTAAAATGTCGTGATTGTCTTCATTTTACTTCCCGTTCTATATATATGAAAAAAAGGGAACTTATAATTAATTTTTTCAAATCGAATTTTTAAATTTGCAGTTTATAATTTCCGTTTTTTTCCATAATTTGAAATTATGCTTAATGGTTTTTTTTTCTAATTATAAATAAATTTTGATTAAAAATTAATTTATCAATAACATTTAACAAAAATGTTTTTGAAATAATGAAAATTCTATTTTTACAGAATTTGTATTTTGTAAATGCTGATGAAGCACAAGTATATTTAATATAGAAAAAATAATGCACCGAGATTAAATTGCACATTTAGATAATTTTTTTGTTTTTGCTTATAAAAACTTGTCTTAAGTATTTATAACTTTTAGTCTGAGAATTTATTGATTTCATGACATTAAATATTTTCTAACGTATTTTTACCCTCTATTGATTATTTACTCTCTGTTTGGAACAATAAGTTAGTAAAAAATTCTCATAGTTTAAAATAAATTGTCTTTGGACAATATTTTACTGCCTTGGATATTAAAAAAAAATTTCTTTTCGTTTTTTTTTTTCAATGGTGTAATAAATTTTCGCACCTAAGCCGTTTTTAATTAACATTTAAATTAACATTTAAGAAGCTCTTAGAAAAGATTGCTTTTGGTCTCAAGTAGATTCCTGCTTTTTATAATATTAATACGCTGGTAGAAAGTACTCTCTCACAGATAATTTCAAACACGTCAGTGTTAATTAAAAGTTGAAATTTCATGGTAAACATAGTTAAAATAATTTCAAAATGCACAAGTGCGTATTTCCACCATTTCACCCTAGAAATAAATGTTAACCCTCATCATCATACCACGAAAGTAGCTCTCGACACGTAAGGGTAGATCACGGAACTAAGTAGGCCGAGTTGAAAAGGGCATTTCAAATCGAGCGTGGATAAAGATATTTTCATTCCCCCCCAAGCAACAGGTTAATGGAGAACCTTGTTTTTCGACCATCCTGAACGACTATTCAATTACGAGAGAGATTTTTTTTTTATTGGTGTCATTATGGACCAACCTTTCACCCCACGAAATGCAGAACCACCTGCTAATCAACCACCTCCAATGGTAAGCAAAAAACAATTTTTCACATTTTTAAATTTGAATTTAAATGGTAAAATTCGATATTCATTTTTAATTTTTTTTTTGTAAAAAAAAGAATTTTGCTATTGGATAGAAAAATTGCATATGTGAAGACTTTTTTTACAATAATTTGTAAAGCACGAATTTACATTATTTCGGGGGTATATAATAATAATAATAATAATATGGCAGTTAAAAAGTTTTGATTAGCTTCGAGCGATTGTTTTAGTAAAAGTTCAATTATTTTCCCACAATTCCCAGACATCGAACTTTTTCGAGTATATTGTGTATATTTCTGAAGTGATAAAAACGGCTTGATAAAATCGCGTTACATTGGCCCTGAGCCCATCGATCTCTCAATAATACTAACGGTGACGTCTCGACGAAATGTTTCGCCGTACCTGCCACCGTTCTGCCCTGCGCTTATTACAAGATCGATCACGAAAAAGCAGAAACTTATCGACTTCTTTCTTCCCTTGATAATACCCTTTAATTTTTCCTCTCAAAAAATCGAATTTTTTTCCAAAATTTCAAAAAAAAAAAAAAGATTTTTTAAATTTCGAATCTGTCAGAGAGAAGGGCAACAAAAATTTTTTTTAACTAAATTTGGTAGGAAAGCAAAAATTTTGTTTTTGCAGGTAAAACAAAATCCTCCAGGCTTTCAACAGGCGCCACCAGGAGGTCAACAAAGATTTCCAGTGATTAATAATAATGGTCCAGGACAACCTCCACCATTGCGTCATCTAGACAGTAGATCGTCATTGATTCCCGGTCAATTTCCACAACAAAGACCACCGCCTCCTTACGGACCAAGACCTCGTAACGTTTTCTATCCCCGAGGTCAAGCACCTCCACTTCCTGGTTCTCAAGGTCAATTTCCATCTCCTCAAGGATCAGTTCCCGGCTCTCCTAATCAAACAATACCACCACAAGGATTTCCAGGACCTCGATTCATTCAAAATCCAAATATTCGAGGTCCTCCTCAATCATCTCAAAGATCTCCATTTCCTCAACAATTTTTTCCCCGCAATGGCAATGATCAAATAAGAGGACCTATTGAATTTCCACCAAATCAAAAATTACAACGTAATGATTCAGTGGCGAATTTAAATCCCCGTTATCCAATTCCTGCCGATAGGCGACCTCAATTAATTCCTCAAATTTCCATCGAAAGAATGTCAGACGAAGGATCAACAAAATCAATCCCAGCCGAACAGGCTGATATTGAAACAATTAAAAAAAAGGAAAATGACGATGACGACGATGATGTCGTGGTGGATAGTGAAAAATTGTCAGATAAAATCGAAATTCCAAAATCCCCACGTTCCTCAGCTCCAAGTCGTCAAGATTCAACATCCAGTGATGGTAAAAATTCCGATTTGGATAAAAATTCCCTTGGTCCATCTAATCAAACATCACCAGTTCGTCTCCAATCTCCGGCTAATTTTCAATCTTCTCCAGCTTATCAACAATCACCAATTCATTTACAATCTTCTCCAGCTCAATCACCGTCTCATCTACAATCATCGCCAGCTCATCAACAATCACCCGGTCCAGCAAGTAGACCTCCATCAGCTTCCCTAAGTCTCAATAAAACATCTCGACCACCTTCTGCAATTAAAGACAATTCAGACAAGAATATTGAAAATAAAAATAATGATGAAATAATTAAATCTATTCCTAATGGTGACAGCACAGATAATGAGACAAATAAACAACAAATTGATGAAAATTCAAAAATAAAGGACAATGAGGATGTGGAGGAAGTGGTCCAGGGTAAAATTTCAATTCCAGGTACTCCAAAGATGCCCAAAACACCGGACAGTGTCAAGGGATTTGATAATGGTAAAAGAAGATCACTAACATCAAGATCATCGTCTGAATCAAAATCACCAAAATCGCCAAGATCACCTGGAGAGAAAAAACACACTTCCTTTGCCGATATGAATGAAAATGGAGAAATTGGTTCCGATGATTCGAGAACAAAATCAGGATACACAACTCCAACTACTCCGAGAAAGAGAATTTCATCCGGAAGTCGTTCTCCCTCTAAGGAAAATAGAAGATCTCTTTCTGCTCGAGGATTCAGGCCAGGTTTCGATTTTCTAATTTCATTTTTAATTTGCATATTTTTTATCAAAAATTAAAAAAATTTTAAAAACATTTTAATATTAGAAGCAAATTAAATTTTAGGAGAAGCAATAATTAAATACAATTTTATTTGGGAATAATTTCAAATTTGAAATATATTTCAAAATATTGAATTTTTGGAAAAACTTATTAAATTTTATAAGTACTTTAGTTGTGGAAATAAATTTTAAAAAAAATAGAAATAAGAAATATTTAAATCTAATTTCAAGTATATTAGAATAAAATTGCATGTTTTATGAGAGTCAATTAAAATTGAGTAGGTGGAAACATTATTTTTAAGAATACGTAAATCGCTTGGATACTCCATTAATAAAATGAAAATGAGAATTTATGAATGAATTGCAATAAAATTCTTAGGCGTGATGATAATAAATTTTCCCTTTTTCTACAGACGCTGAAAACGACAGTGGCGTTGATGAATCAACTCAACGTGGAGAGGTGATATAAAATACCTTCTTTTTTTTAATTAAAAAAATAATTATAAAATAACTAGATTTGAATAATTTAATCATAAAATTATTCAATTTAAATCCTAATTTAAGAATCAAATATAATTTCTGATGAATTAATTTTTTTTAATAATTGAAATTAAAAATATTTAATGAATCATACACAGGCACCTACATTAAATGGAATAAGAAGTTCTCCTACAAAAAGAACGTCTTCAAAATCAAGGGAAATGGACAAAAATTCAATGGCCGGCTCTCCTATAAAATCCCCGAGTAAATCAGCGAAATCTCTACTAAGGACACCAGATACAGCTTCATCGACCAGCATTCAAGATAAGAAAAGTCAGTTATTATGTTATAAAATTTTTAATACTTTTAAACAAATTTTTAATAATTGTAATTTTTTTTAATATTTTCATTTTTTTCGAAAATTTAGAATATTAAACATTTAATATTAATATTTTTCTTCAAATATCAAAGATTAATTTCCCAATTCTTGTCAAAAGTTCCCATGAATAAAGTGCAAGTCGGAGCAGCGCCTTCGCCTAATTTAAAGACTGTGAAATCGAAAATTGGTTCCTTAGCCAATACCACTTATAAACCAGGAGGTGGAAAAATCAAAATCGAAAATAGAAAACTGGACTTTAGTAAAGCGCAACCAAAAATTGCAGCGAAGAACGATAAATACGCACCAAGTGGCGGCGATAAGAAGGTAAAATTAATTAAAAAAAAAAAAAAAAAAAAAAATAGTTTATTTTGAAAAAAAGCTTTTCAATTAATTTTTCACCTATAATGAAATTTTTTTTCCAATAAATTGAACACAATGAGATATTGTTTTAATTCCTCTTCGAATATTGTGGATAAATTTACGAAAGGACATGACGTAGACTTCCTTTTCTAGGACGATCGATTTTTTTTACTAAAATAGGTATAACTTTCGAGCTTGTGGCTATTTTTGCGCCCATTGTAGAAACTAGAAATTGAAATTACATATTTATTTTTCAATGTTTCTTGCGCGTTCTAATCGAACATTACAATTTTAGATCCAACAAGTGAAACTTCAATGGAATGCAAAATCCAAAATAGGCTCATTGGATAATACAACTCACAAGCCAGGAGGTGGAGACAAGAAGATCGAAACAGTGAAGTTAGATTTTAAGGACAAGGCAAAACCGAAGGTCGGTTCCAAAGACAATACAAAACACGTACCAGGAGGTGGCACTGTTAAGGTAAAAATAAATAAATAAATAAATAATATGTCCCATATTTTCGAATGTGTAATGCTTACCAAATAGAGTATCAATTTTCAAATATCTATAATGTCAAATATTTGTAAAGTGCATCTTGAAACATAAGAGATATTTTTATTTTCTAAATTCCCCTTGGCATGCTAATGTCTAATGCACCGATATTCAATTATTTCTATATTTATATTTATTCTAACTTTCGATTCTATTTCTCACAATTTTTTTTTTCATCTTCTCTTAATAATATTGTTACGAAAAAAATATTTTTGGAAAATTCTCAAATTTGGAGGCGTCTAAAGTATTTTGATTTTCCTTTTTCGAAAAGGATTCGAGAAATATTTTTTAAACTCTCTGGGGGAGAAGCAAATTCTTAACATTTAATATAATTTAAAGTGATATAAATATTTATCAGAAATGTGAATTTACAATGAAATTCACTGTCAAATAAAATGCAGACGAGACAGTAATAATTTCGCTTTACGCGAGTTTCAAGACAAGTCTTTTCATTGTCACCTAAAACTTTCTTCAAGTCAACTTTATAATAAACAGTGTGAAATTTTACCTTGATCGATCGTGTGTCAGTCTCGCAAACTTAAATTTGTTTCATTTACTTTCCAGGCGTGTTAATTGGTTTCCTTCTGAAACAAGAAAAAAAATATAAAAATTTAATAAAATATTTAAAAAGAAAAAGAAAATAAATGTAATTTAAAAAATTTATAAATAAAATATTTTCCAGTCTAAAAATATGAATGAAATATTTATTATTTTTTTGTATTATTATTGTCATTAGATATGAATCAGGTGCGGAATAAAAAAAAATTTAATCTGGGGTAAGGTAATTTAGGTCGTTGGTCCTAAATGTCATTTATAGAATGATATCAGAGCCTTGATATAAAAAAAAGAAAATATTAAACCCTTTGCGTGTTTATGACTAACTTGCTTCGCTTAAATTTCAAACTTAGAAATAGAAATTTGTTGTTTGTAATTTGCAACTCTAGGACAACGACAATATCGTGATTTGTCGTGGTTTCAGGAAGTGAAAATCTGCATGTTGAAATGTCTGTTTTAATGTTTTTCTTTTACGATAAACATCCGCGTAGTTCATTACCTCTATTGAAAACAAATAATTCCTTACTCAATGAAAGTAACAAAAATTTATAATTTATTTCGTAACTATATTAATTTGCAAATATTATTTATTTTTACTATATCTATTCACTTACTAATTAACATATTACTAATTAATAAATGAATTATTAATTTCTAATTATTACATTTCTTTTTCGAATTCTTAAAAAAAATTTTATTTCCTAAATTTAATATTTTCCAAGAAGAATATATTTCCAACTCAGAAGAAAAATAAAATATAAAATAGCAAACAAATTAATTAGAAAATAATCAAATTAATAAAATAAATGGAAATAAATTTTGCTTGACGATGGTCTATTTTTTTGTAATAATAATGATGCTTGAAGATCATTTTAAGACATTTCAGATGGTTCCCTTATAAAAAAAAGCTTGTAACCTTGTGACCTATGCATGAGGTGTCATCGGTCATTATTAACACATTATTATCATTTGTTGATGTTTAGTCATTGGAGACACCACCAAATACTCCTCCTCAGGACACACCGTCTGAAGATGTAAGTAAAGCGATGGCATTATCCATATAAAATTAAATTTAAAAAATCAATCATAACCATCGCTGCGAATAACATTTTGTCTAATTTGTCCTTTCTCATTTTTACATATATATATTATTCATTAATTGCAATTAACAAATTTTAAATATTTTTGCAAAATGTATCGTTTCTTTTTCCAAGTATTTAGAGATTTTTACGAATAATTATATAATATTTAAGTATAATTAAATATTATAATATTAATATGATAATAATCATCGATTTGTATCTAATAAAAAAAATGCGTGTTCGGAATTAAAATAATAAAAATAAAAAGAGAAACAAGCTGGCTATCGAGAAATTAAATCGTAAGTAATATCCGGCAAAGGATCAAAGCATGATCGCATGTGTGGAATATTTTTTTATTATTAGAATGAATATTTCGGTTTTTTATCCAATTGTGATAAGACATTTTTGGACCTTTTATATAGAAGTCGCTTGAATAAAAAAAAGAATTTTTTTTCATTTTTGTAGATTTAGTAATAATATCCCTTGTCGACGTTTAAAAAAAAGGTATAAGTATTTTGTAAAAAATAAATATTTTCCTTCTAATAAAAATTCTTTTTTCTAAGAATTATATTTTTTTCTACTCTAAAGTGATAAAAAAATGAATCATCATGGATTTAATAATAATAATAATAATACAATGAAATTAGTTGTAGTTGTTGTAAATATTTCGTTTTTGCATAAATTTAATTTTTATATCTTCCTGTTTGACAGATCGAAACACAGAAAATTGATATTAAGGCTGAAAGCAAAATTGGATCGCTTGATAATGTCAAACACAAGCCAGGCGGTGGTGACAAGAAAATCTTCAATGACAAAGATTATCTCCGACAGACCAGTTCGAATGCTGAGAGTCTTAATGGAAGCGGCTCTCAGGTATGAAAGATTATTTTAAACATTTTTACATTATAAAAAAAAAATTCAAATTTAAAAAATATCGAATTGCCTTGCACTCACAACATTTGTATCAAACAAAAATTTTCATTTGAAAACAAGTGTGTCAAAATTATTTTATTAAATAATATTTTTTATAATTAAAAAAAAATTAGAAAAATATCAAAAAAATTTCTCTAAATCGGGAAAAATTAAAAAAAAAAAAATATTTTATAGGTACAAATATTTTTGAGTGTACTGGCAAATTACAAAATCGTAATCCCTAAAATCAAATTAAAAATCGAAAAAATCGAATAATAAATTATCAAAAATTAATTTTCACAGTATTCAAAAGTAAAAAAAAAAAAAACAATTTCGCCAATTTTGCTTTGCATGACTCGCACAATTATTCGCGATATTAGAAGACTTATCCACCAAAGTCGATTAATTATTGGATTGCACAAAACACAATACGTTGGCCATAGATTTAACTTTTTCTCGCTTCTATTAAGTAATTAAGCAAATAAAGCACTAGAATTAAATCGAATCTTTATCATTTTTATTTTTTTAAAAAATTATCACAATTTTCCAAAAATTAACAAAATACCATTTCAATAATTTATTATAAAAATTTGAAAAAGAAAATAATTTACCCAAATCAAAAAAGAAAATTAGTTGGGAAAAAAATTCGCGTGAATATTCCAAATTTTGTCATCGTGGGAAAGAAGAAATAAAGCAAAAAAAAAAAAAAAACTGTGCAATGGCCGATAAAATCGCAAAAAAAAAATGAATTCTTGTCTCACTTAACAATGAGACAATATATTTGGCTAGAAAAGCATTTGTTATGTTTCACAGAGTCCAATACCGTCCGGCGCGATCAACAATGGCAAGAATGGCCTTCCACCATCGGACGAAAACCTCAACCAGGAATGCTAGGTCTTCACTACTTAACTTCATCGCGTTAACGTTTGACGTTCACACATCCCGAAGGCTTTTGAATTCCTTGTCGAGATCCCTTCGCGCAGGGATTTTAAAGAGCTGATTTAAATCCTGCCATTTCTGACATCCCTCGAGGCCATAGAAATACAGTTTTTTATAATAAAAAAAAAATACTCGATGTTAATATAATACTAGAAAAAAAGCTTCTTAATTTTAAAAATTCTACTCTTTAATATAATAAATTATGATTTAGAAAAGAAAACGAATTTCGAAATTCATAGAAATTTTTTTTTCTGTTCTCTAATCATATGAATCATTGTGAAAATCATTTTTTTTACTATATAAATCATTTCACAATATTGAATAAAAATAGAAAAATATTTGTACAAATAAAATGAAATGCCTCTTTGGAAGAATTTAAAAATTAATTTTTTTTGAAATGTAAAAATTTTGGCCTGTTAGAGTTTTGTCGAATGGCAGGGTAACTAAACTGATTGCCCGTCGAGAGGTCACGAGATCTTTGACAGTGGAGAATTTGTAACAAAATTTCTTGAAATGATTTAATTGTACTTTATATTTAATCTCATTTTAATTATTATTAGAAAAATATAAGTTTTAATAATATAATTATAATAATATAATTCTATATTATTTTATATTATCTTAATATTACAATTTAATTGACATTTTATTAAAATTAATTCGTAAAATTGCATTTAAACAATAAAATCATTTCAGGAAATAAGAAAAAAAAGAAAACGAATTTTTTTTCTATCCAAAAAAATTGTAAATTTTCAAATTCATTCAATATTTGTTCTTTCAACAAAGCAAGAGAAAAAAAAAAGAATTGTTGCAACAATGGCTGTGAAAGAATAAATTGCAATTTGTGAAATTAGGAACAATTCTTCCATGAGGGACGAATTTTATTTCAATTATACTTTTTACGAAAATGCATAAATAATTCTTTTAAGTATTTAAAAAGTTTTTTTTCAATGCATTTTTAAAATTTTATTGCAAATTCAAATATTTCGGTGGATAGAAAAAAAATATTCATTTTCGAAAATATATTAAGAATTCCAACAGTGAAGGCGACTTCTGTTATGCAATGATGGAAAATTTTTAATGATGTGAAAATAATAATGTGCTAATTAATTTTTGTCTAACGCATTAACTATGCACGAATTTCATTATAGTAACACTCGCTCGTAAATTTGAAAAGAATATTATAAAAACTTGATTGCAGTTTTCGCTAGCTGTATTATATAATATATTTAAAATATAATGAAAAATCAAATGAAAAACATTTTCCAATAATTATCAACATCTTTGAATTTGAAATCTGAGAAAATAAAGAAGATTTGATAAATTAAATTAATTTCAGTCTGACCATACAAAAAAAGGGCAAATTTAAATCTTATTATATATAAGGCTTCTTAATTTGAATTTGTGACTACAGAATATATCAGATATGAAGTATGTAAAAAAATACATGTATAGAGTTCAATTTTTATCCTTTTAATTCCTTGCACGAGGAAAAAAAAATAGTAATTTGAATTTTAAATGTAGAAATAATTTTCTTTTACTCTACGATTTTCCGAGTGTCGTGAAATCACAGTAGTAAAAACAAAAAAAAAGAAGCAAATCCTCAAAATTGTTCTCTATTTGAAAAAAAAGAAAATGTACTAATTTTCAATCATTTGCTACAATATTGTAATTGTGTATATTGAAAAATAAAGAAAAGAAACAACTGTTAAGTATTTCACAAGAATTGACTTATTTGCAAAAGTTGTCGTTTTTCTTCATTTCAAATTTATTCTACATTTCAAAGTGTTAAAAAGAATATAGAGACTGAGGTAAATTAAATATTTAAATATATATAAAAAATAAATTTCAATATTTAATTAATTATTGTTTGAATTAGAAATTTAAAAAAGTCTACGTTTATGTAAATTAATAAAATACTAAAAAAAATATGTTCAATTAAATATAAATAAAAAATATGTTTTGAATTTAAAATTTAAAAAAACATACCTATATGTATATTAATTGTCGACATATAATTAATGACAATTCTCAATCTATACTATTCCGATAACTGAACTAAATTAAAAAAAAAAACAACAGAAAAGTTTCAATATGCAAATGAATAATATAGATTTTCTGCTAACTATAATACATATTATAATAATACGATTGATTGTAACTATTTAGATTTTTATAAATGTAAAAGTTTATCTACATGTAAAGTTAAACATTTTAATTTATTCAAAAATTTCATCTTTGCAAACAAAATAAAAAAAGAATAATCAGAAACTAGAAAATGCGGACCACTAGAAAAATTCTATTACGATAGTCGCCTATTTTTTTAGAAAAAAAAAAATTAATTAATAACTAAACATATTTAAAATCTTTAATTATTAATTACCCAAAGAATATTATTTAATTAATAAATATCAGTTACTTAAAAATATCGATTATTTAATTAATAAAAATTAGTTTGTAAAATAAAAAATCTTTTCAATAAATTTCCACATATAAATGTAAATAGAGAAGCAGATTACAGTTGTCTAATTTTTAGATAACAATAAATTTCTCGATTAGAATTTCTTTTTTTTTTACTTTAAAATGAAGGAACGATTGAAGTTTTCATAAAAATGAAAAAAAATAGTTACAATTGAGATAACCATAAAATGAGAAAAATATAGTTATAATTTCCATGAAATAAAAAAAAAGTTGCAAAAATGAAATAATTAAAATGATTAATTTTAATTTAGATCAGTTGGATTAATATAGCAATTTAGTAAAAGAAGAAATCAAGTGTTTTTAAAAATAGAAATAATGATAAATTATGGTATATCCATCATCAATGTCTCAATTTAACAGCAAAAAGAAAACTTTCTATCAAAATCACGACCGCAAATTGTATAACTGATCATTCGCAAAATGTATCTTCAAAACTTTGCTATATAGAAAATCATTTTAGCATAATAATATTTTTCTTTTTAAATTTATCACGGCACTTTTTATTGCACCTTTGCTCCCAAAGAAATTTTTTTTTTCTATTTTCAATTCTGATTCATTAATTAAACTCATCATCATCATTTATTATGAAAGCTTCCAAATTTTTTTCTACTATAATAGAATATTTAATTATTGATAAAAAAAAATGTTAGTTAGAATTTACAGTTGAATTTCACTTAATTATCTTTGGCAAGTAGCTCAGTAGCGAAGGTATTTAGCGTCACGTTCGTCACATTCACGAGGGAATTGAAACATCTACTAACTGCCTTCTTTATAGTGACAAAAGGTCAGTTTGGCACAAACACTTCTTTTTTTCTTTTTAATATATTCGAAAATATTTTTTTTTATGCGTTAAAACTAAATTTCAAATTAATGATAAAATTAATTTTAAAATAAAAAAGTTTTCTAAAGTTAAAAAATTTGTTTAAAAAATTAAAAACCTATTTCTAGATTTCTCCGGTAAAAGTGCAAGGCTGGGAAAATGGTATCGAGAAACCAGAACCAAATCCACCGCCTTCGACACCAACGAGAGTTCAAATACCTTCTAATTCCGTTGTGACACCAAGAGCGATAAGATCAAGTTTTGCCAAGTCCTCGGAAACTATAACACCACGTGGAAACGTTGAAATTTCACCAAGAAAATCCCTTCGCTCACCAAGTTCCGCAAGACCTCCGGGTAGTCTCAATTTCCAAGTATTTGACAATTCTTCCATTGAGACAAAGAAATCATATTCTCCGTCTGGTCTTCGTTCATCAAGATCATTCCGATCATCTCTATCAAGTCCTCATGATTCTGAAAATTCAAATGTTCAATCAAGAGTTAGATTCTCAAAATTTTAAGCATATAGGCAATTTCGCACATTGATACATAAATATTTATCACAAAATATCTTCTCAAAAAAATGTTAAAAGAAGGTATTTTTTTCTAAAATGCAAGCTAAAATTAGATGAAAAAAAAATAATTTCTATTTTAATTTTCAATAAATATTTATATAAATTAATATAAATTTTTGTATACAAAAACTTTTTTCATTTATAATAAATATTCTTTTAATTTATATAAATATTTATAATAAATAATATTTCGATCACATGAGAGCTTGAAAAATTAGACTGTATCAACACTTACAATTTCATTGTTGAACAGTCAAATTTTGCAATTATGTAAAACGTAGATTTTGTAGAATTAGAAATAAAAAAAAACAATCACAATTTTTTCTTTTTGTACAAAGAAAAAAAAGCAATACAAAACACTCACGGTATACAATGTAAATAATTCTTTATTACTTCTATCTGTACTACTATATTGTTACTTTTATAAAAAGCGTATTATGTTACAAAATATAATTCCATGTCAAATACAGAGGATATGTCATGTAAAAAAAATATCCACAATTTCCAGGAATGTTTACCACACGATATAAGTAATACGGAATATTTATAAATTACATCTGCATCAAAAAAAAAAATTTCTTTATAAAAATTAAAATTCAGTGTGCTATAAATGCGAGGCGAAGTGGTTTTCAGTCTTTCTTTGGCAGTGGTGGTGGTACTAGTTTTACATTCTTGAAGAATGGATGACGCAATGCCATCATTGCTGTGATTCTTTGATTTGGATCGTAAGCTAATAATTTCTGCAAAATAATCGAAAAAAATATACATTATTAAATTTCTTTCGTTCGTGCTCGCTTAAAATATTGTCGAATAATTCTTACTTTAAGTAAATCTTTGGCATCGTCGTCAAAGTTCGAGACAACTTCATCTAAACTGCGAGCGTCCCAACGTGGAAACATTGATTTATAATCAGGAAGTTGTGAAACACCAGGCCAAACGGTTTCGTCGGGTGTTCCCAGAGTTCGAAATATTCGAAATAGTTGATCAATTTCCGAATCGCCAGGAAACAAAGCCCTTTTTGTTGCCTATTAAAAATATAAATTTATTATAGAAACAAATTCTACAAAACATTTTTTTTTTTTTATGGGAAAATTATTTGAAATTTTTTAACAGAAAATATTAAATAACAAATGTTTTTGAAATTAAAAACAAATTCCATAATGTAATTATTTTCTTTATGTAATAAACGAAAATTGAGGAAATAAATAAATTAATCAAAGTACAATTTTTTTCTAAAGATATATTACCATTTCTGCAAAGATACATCCGAGGCTCCATATATCAACGGCAGTGGAGTACAATTTGGTACCTAGCAAAATTTCCGGTGGTCGATACCATAAAGTAACTACTTCATGTGTATACGTTCTCACTGGAACTCCAAATGCTCGTGCCAATCCAAAATCGGCTAATTTTATATTTCCTTCTCTGTCAATGAGAAGATTCTGTGGTTTCAGATCACGATGCAAAATTAAATGCACATGACAGTAAAAAATTGCATGCAACAGTTGCCATAGGTAACTCTGCAAAAAATAAATTATTAAATTAATTAAATGATAATTTCAAAACAAATTTAAATTTACAAACAAGTACCTTAACTAAGGCCTGTTCCAGGCCGTGTTTCACCGACTCCAGTAATTTTTTAAGATCCTGTTGTAAAAATTCAAAAACAAGGTAAAGATGCCTATCACCTTGCACAACGTCCAATAATTGAACAATATTAGGATGAGCTAATTCCTTCAAAAGTGAAATTTCTCGAATGGCAGTTGATGGTACTCCTTCGCTTTCCCTGAATTAAAAAAAATAGTTAATTATCACTATCAATATTAGCAATTTAATAAAAATTTATTCAAATAAATGGAAATAAAACTTATCTTTTTTTTGCAAATTAATATAAAAACTTCTTTACTTCTCTTGCAAATACTAGACTTTTTTTTTGAAAGGGAGTCTTTGTTATAGGAATTCAATTTTAAATTCACGAAATTAATTTCCAATGTTTCGAAATTAATTATCTCAAGCCAGGAAAAAAATATTTTCCAGTCTCGAAATTAATTTTCAAAAATCTCGAAATCAATTTCGAATTCAAAAGCATAATTTCTGTTTAAAAAAATAGCGCGCTATAAAAACAAATTAAATAAAATTGAAAAGGTGTGTTCAAAAATATTGGAAATTAGAAATAATTTTTTTTAATTATTTGCCGTAGTCCTATGAAAGAAAGATGAGTTTTGCGCAATGGAATAAGCTGAATAATGTGGTGCTACGATATAATAAAAAAAAGCAACGTGGCCAACACAAATTCAGCTGACACCAATGTACAGGTTAGCAGATGTAGTTAGTGTCGTACAAAAGCAAAAAGCTATTTATAAATTAATTAGCTGCCAAAATCTACGGAATACAGATGCAAAAAAAAAATTGATAATGATTATGCAAACATTCGTTATCATACATTCTAAATGAATAATTTAAATGGTTATAAAATATAGTATACACATAGAAAAACAAACTATTTGCAATTTTTATTTTAACTTACAATATTTTTAAAAGAAAATTTTATATATGATAACGTGAATTCATAATCTTTATAAACAATTTTTCAAAACCCAATAGAACGATTAGTTTAATATTTATAAAAAATATATATTGTCCAGAATTAAAAAATAAAAACCTGTGTTTAAAGAGATTAAAAAAAAGTAAACAATTTCATAAAAAATGAAAATGCAAACAGAATAAGGATGCCATAACCTAAAAACGCATCAGTTTGCTTTATTCCAAAAAAACCTTATCCAAATTTAAATAACCAACTTGTTAATATAAAAATCATATACAAAATAATAATGCAAACTAAAAAAAACAATAATAATTCATAGAAAAACACACATTTAAACAAATTAAAAACAAATATGATCAGCACCCTAAGAAAAACCATGAAGCCTGTCTCATAATTTATTGATATTAATATATTAAAAAAATACTTACGTTTCCAGACGAATTTTCTTAAGTGCCACTAATTTTCCAGTTAATTTATCCTTAGCTTTATAAACAACACCATAGGTTCCTTCACCAATTTTTTCTATTTGTACAAAGTTGTCCATAACCTTAACACTACCGTTTTCACCGTTCTTGTGAGGCATTTTTCACTTTTACACACTGTTCAAAAATTGATAAAATTGATAGATAACACTTTAAATGATTATAGTAGTAGAAAAGAAGAAAAGAAAAACTAAAAATGCCGTAAATATAAATAACGGCAACTATTCTAACAAAAATGTGTTGTCGTGTGACAAGTGTTTACAACCGCTCAAAAGGCGGCAAACACGGCAAATGTAGTTCGACACTTGACACAACGAGCGCTACTAGCGGAAAATACTGAATTAGTCAAATTATAAATTTTCAAGTCAAATTCTAGCGGGAAATTAAAAATGAGGGTCTATTATTATAATTTTATATTTAAAATAATAATAATTTAATAATAATAATTAAAACTATATTATTATAAAAATAATAATTCCAAAAACTTGTTTGTTATATGTTTAATAATTAAATGTTAATTCCCTGATATATAATAATTAATTATAAATTGTATAATTATAATAAAAAAATAATTGTTACTTTGAAACAATTTTTCTTTTGAGAATCTTTTTTCAAAATTGTTATTATTAATTATTAATTGTAATTGAAGGTTAGTAGAATATTTATTTTCGAATTCCCCTAGAGTATAATTAGCCACGAAAATTCACGTGTTGATTGTACATGATGACTGAATTAATCTATAAATGATTAAGCCATAGAACTAATTTATTATTATTATTATTATATTTTACAAAATTAGAATTGTTCTAGTAAAGCAAAAGTCATCAAAATATTTTTTTTTTTCCCTTTTTTATTTCTATAATTTATTTTCGTTTTTATGAAAACGTCACTGATAGATAGATAACACGAACTATCTCATACTATATATCGGACAATTATTTTAATAGTATTTAAATAAGTGATTTTATTGATAAATAAATAAATTATTTAATAATTAATAAATAATTATTAATAATATTAATAATAACTGTAATATAATTATAATTAATAAATAATTATTTTAATTATTTTATTTAATTTATTTTTTAATTAAATTATAAAAAAAAACCCAATTGTTTTTTATTTTGTGTTATAATTAAAATATTTTCTATGCAATAATTGTAAATAATTTTTTCTTTCACTTTGCACTTAAAGAAAAAAATTTTTATTTTCGTTAGTCTCGTCCTAACAATGAAACATATTTTAATCCCGGATATAGAGCGCGCGTTGAATTTTCTGACGTTCTTTATGATTTCTTGGTGTAGCGTGAGTTTCATTTGTATATGATAGAAGAGGATGTTGTGAGTTTACAGCTCTTTACTATTCTTGCAAGTAGAAATAGGAAAAAAAAATCTACGAAGAAAATTGAAAAAAAGGGTTGTTTCTTTTTTTTCCACCTTTTTACCCCCCTTCCTACTCTCGTTGCACTTGTCGATTTTTCTTTTCTTATTCGCTATTTGTATTCATATAACATTGAATGAAGGACCTATCTTTTATTTATATACATAGTTGAAATTTTATGACTTACAAATGATACTTTTCATGTGTCGAACATAAAATTACTTTCAACTATAGATTCTGTTTTTTATAAACGTAATTCTATCTTGTATTTTTTTATTTGCAGTAAAGTAAAAAAAACAAACTCTTTGATGGCTTTATCAATTGTCACATGAAATCACTCGATTTAGTACTAAACTTTTTGTAATTTTCCAAATGTTCTACTTTTGAAAATTTTAATTCAATATATTTTTTAAATATATTAATTTTAATAATTAAAATTTTTTAATTAAAATTTTAATTTTTAATCTTAATAGAAATGAACCGTTTTTAAGTAATAATAATAATAACAATTAATAACAATAATTAAATAATTAGTTAATAATTATTAATAATAACAATTATTATTATTGTTAATATTATTTACTTTGTATTTAACTTAAAAATAATAAAAATTAATTTTTATTTCCCTTATTTCGCATAAATAATTTATTACCCATTATTATTATATAGTTTACTACTATAAATTCTAAAATTCAGTTTTATTGCACATTTAACATTATAAATAATAGTCAAATATGTTCGTTACATTAAGTTTATTGCATACGTTTTAAATTCTTGCAGTTTATTGCTAATAATTTTATTAGAGAAATTTTGGTGTAATTTGAAAAATCCCTTTTTCTATTCAAGAAAGAAATGACAATTTTTTATAGCAAATTAAAAAAAATAATGCATAGATGAAAAATTGTCATTTTTATAATATCACTTGCGGATGATCGTCGAACGATTATCATTTCCGTTTATATAATATTATATATATAGCTATATATAGTTAAAGTGAGTCGTAATTGAGAATTAACTATAAGATTGAATTTTCAATAATAAACTTATAGAATGAAAATGAGCTATATATATATATGATACACTGACAAGTTGTCGTTCAACGATAAAGAGCCTTAAGCAATTCTTTGCTGGCACTAATTTATCCGATGAATTTCAAATGTGCGTCAATGCTTCTTTGATGTTTAGTAATCGATGTCGAATATCAATATCGAAATTCACTGAAACTTACATCCTCAAAATTTATAACGAATTTATAGTCACTTGATTATTAACACTTCCTTACTTGTAACGAAAATAAATTCAAAAAAATAAATCTGCATTCAAAAAACAATGTCTTTCAAAATTGAAATTTTTTTTTTTGAAAATTAAAATATAAAAATTTAAATACCTAATATTTAAATAAATTTAATATTTAAAACTTTTAATAATATTAATAAAATTAGATTTTGTCTGACTAAATATTTACTTGTACTACTAAAAAATATAAAAATTAGAAATAAAAAAAATCTAGGTATAATTAAAATGTTGAAATTACACCTAAGAAGCAGGTGTTATAACACAAGGATAAAGAGAAGAATTGCGCGAGTTTAAACGGATTATCACAATAGCGTAAGGAATATATTACTCAAATTAATCACTAATTAAACAAAAACAATCTTTTGAAATATATATATACGTCAAGAAATTATTCTTCACATATTTTATATTTCTTAATCCTCAACTATAAAAATTTTTTTTTTTTTTAAATAAAAAAAGTATTTTTTTTTATTTTATAGACTTTTGAACAATGTTACATAATTTAAAATCATAATAATGATTTCATTATAAAGATAAATTATAGAACAACTCGTTATCTTTGCTGTTATTAAGCAAACTGGCAATTTTCTTTTATTTCTAGTATTTCAGTCTCTGGCTGTTTCTGCTAATACCTATAGTTAGCAATTTATTGATGTCGCCTTTTTTAAAGGTCCTAATATCGATTTTATTGATTTCACGAATCTTTATAGAGTCTGAATTATTTTGTTTTCGAAAAAAAAAATTCTAATTATTTTTAACTGCATGAATAAATTAATAATTAATTAAAATGTACACACAAAAAAATTTTCACCTAGATCAGCGATATGTTTCCCTAAAATAGCGAAAGTTTTCGCTATTCTAGAGAAATATATCGCTGATCAAGAGAAACTTATCGTTAGATTTTTTTGCGTGCAATACACTGAAAAAAATGTATTTGCTTCAAATAATCGGTTACTTGACTATTATTAAATAATTATTTATTGTAAATAATTATTATTTGAGTCAATTTAAAAACTATTTGTTTCAAATACAGTTTATTTAATTCAAATAAAAATTACTTGGTTCAAGTAAATATATTTTTTAATAATAGTCAACCGATTATTTGAATTAAATGAATTTGTTTCACTGTAATCTGTAAAACAAAACTTTGAGATAATTTAAAAAATTCCATTGAATAAAGCAGTGGATGTACAATAGAAAAAATAAGTGAATTCTCTTGCGAGCGTTTATAGTTTCCTATATAGAATAGTGCCAACTACAATAAAAACTGGAATAATTTTCGTTTTTCTCAACTTCGTTAATGTATTCTCTTTTTACTGTTAAAATTCTTCGAGTACGAGAGTAGAATATCAAATTATCATAACCAAAACTAATCTCTCCCACTCTCTTCAATTACTACTTTTATTGCACAAAAAATAACACTAATTAATTATTTTTCGAATATTTTGATTTTATTTTAAATAAAAAAAATATATTCAAAAGTAAATGTTTTATTGCAAATTCAAAAAAAAAAATATTAAAATTATGAAAAATCAGTTTAGTATCGAATAATTTATGAACTATGTATTGTTTTTTTTAAAACAAGATTTTTATATCCTTTCTTTTAAGAATCCACTTTCTAAATGATGACCAGTTGTTTCAAGTCTCAATTATGTAATAGCAGAAAGCTTTGCGAGATTCAAAGGGAAAAGAAAAAGTAGTAGAAACTTTAGAAGATCTCATGAGGTAAAAGTTCTTTTTGAGAAATTCACGTGGGAAAGATTGAAGAGAAGAAGAAGAACAAGAATAAGAACAAGATGTAGCAGAAGTAGTAAAAGAAGAAGAAGAACGAATTAGTGGTCATCCAGGTGACTCAGGTGCAAGTTCCCTTTTTTTTGCGGAGGTGGGATATCACAACCCCCTTCCCCCCCACCATTTTACTGCTCGTGGTACATGCAAGCTCCTTCTTTTCATTGGCTCTGAGCTTTTGTGACGTCACATTCACACCGGTCTATGTATAGATTGAAACACGCGGAGCGTCAGTCTGCTCTTGTCTGTCACGCTGACTTGGCTGCTTGAGGAAAATCAGAAGCTCTTTTGTGACAGACTTGCACCAGGACCATTAATTTTTGCAAAAATATTTTTTTCCGTTTCATCCTTTTCTTTTTTGCTGAAAATTTCAAAAAAAATAAATTCTCAACTTTCGATCTGATTTTATTCGACAAAAAAAAAGAAAGGTAAGTTTTCAAAAATTTATTTAAAAAAAAAATTTGAGGATTCTCAAATTTATCATCAAATTATTAGGAAATAATTCCGATTTTAATTTGATTAACGGAAATTAGAATAATTTTGAAAATGTTACTCCTCGATTGTATTTTAATTTTTTTAATTATTTAATTATTTTGCAATTCACGAAATTAGGAATTAATTTTTAAATTTTTTCCCCTATTTGGTAAATAAAATAAAAAAAAAATTTGATAAAAAATGATTAAAAACCACTTTGGACTATGAGTCTAAAATAAAATTTTAAATTTATTTGTAAAGAAATATTGTTTAATTTTTTTAATTCGCGAAAATTAAATTAATTTTTCATCTAATATGATACTTAATATCGCAAGAAAATTAAAAAGTTTTAATAATATTTTATTCACTTTTTTTTTTAATATCCGAGATTTATATTGAAAATTTTTATTCTTTAAACTTCAAAGTAAAAGGCTTGAAACTTAAATCTTTAGTTGATACAAGGTATTAAAGTTGAAGCTTTCAAATACCAAATTTGTAAAACTTAGAGCTTTTCCTAATGGAAACTTGATGTAATTCAACGAGTTTTGTATTAAACAACTTTATTTTCAAAAGTTAATAAAAAAAAAACAAAAGTAAATTTATTTTAATACAGCAAAAATTTAATTAAATATTTTTAACTAAGAAATAAATAAAAAATATATTTAATAATTAATTTAATATAATAAATATTCTGGTCAGGGATGAATGAATCTTGAAATTTCATGATGAAATTTGCAGTAAATTTCATTTTAGTCGTGGTCCCATGACCTCACGTTGGTTATAATAGTACATAAATCAATTTCATTGAATTATTTTTCGGTTATAACATTAATATCATTTTATCTCGTAAACCTACAATGCTATATAAATATTTCATATATGACAAAAAAAAAAATTTTTTTTTACGATATAAATAAAAAATACACTGAAAAGCTTTTCAATTTTCATAAAGAGAAAATTGTTTCCTTGAAAATGAAGATGAAAAAGAAATTGACATTACAAACCAAAAATTAAATTTTTTTTTATAAAAAATATTTTATAAATAAATTTTTTTTTAACGAAACATTATATCATTTTAATGACAAAGAATTGAGTTTTCAGCATATATGATAGAAATCAAACATTACAAAAAAAAGAGAAAAGATTTATGAGTCGTTTGCTATAATTTAAATAATTTTCATTTTTCTTTAGAGCATAAATTTTCCTTTATTAAGATAAGAAAAAAGGGGGCAATTTATTTTCAGTGATACGAATCGAATTCTAATCAGACAGCTTGTAAAGTAAACAATTATATAATGATTTAATTAATACTTTAAAGAAATTAACAATTAAAAAAAAAATAATTTTTCTTATAAAATGGCCATAATTTAAAATAAATAAATAATTATTTTCAATAAAAAAAGTGGAAATAATGTTTAAATTCTGAATAAGAATTTAATTTATTTTCTCTAAATTTTTTCAAAATTCATTTGCTGACTACAAATTGACTTTTCTTTTACTTTATATCGGCATTTATATATAGATTAATGGATTTGCATATAAAAAGAAAATCCGTAAACTACCAAATAAGTGCATTACAAGACGTAAGATAAAATAACGAAACTGAGATGGAGATTGATTCATTTCAATATCAAAGGAAAATTTGCCTTTGTACATATTGAAAATTTATTTTTTTTTTTTTTTAATGAAACCGATTTTATCCGAGACGAATTGAATTTTTTTCAATAATTCTCTTTAATTATAATATCAAATATATCAATGATATAAAATTCAATGATAAATATAATTTTTCTTTACTATTCTAAACAATTATATATTTTTTTTTAAATATTTAATTTTTTTTTATTATTTCATTTTTATTTCTTAGATAAACCTTTAAGTGGCATTAAAAAAAATATGTTCACCTGTAACCTTCCTGTCGAGTTATAATATTCAATAAATTGTTTTTATATTTTCATGTATAGTTTCAAACGCATTTAAAAAAGAAGAAAAAATATTCAGGGTCAATTATGTATTTTCGGTTCCTTCTCACGTTTCTCATTTTCATTTTATTTTCATTTGGGCATTTTTTTTATGTGTTTCCCGTTAAAAACAAATAACCCTTTACTAGATATTTTAATGTCCTTTTTTTAATGTGAGCGTGAACTTGAAAATGTGAAACAGATTTTTTTGATTACGAAATAAATGTTTAAAAAAATTTGCAAAAAACTAAATGGATACGTTTAATTATTGTCAAATTAGTTGTTAATTAGAAAAATAATTTAAAAAATTATTAACAAATCAAGATAGTGTAAAAAAAAGTGAAAAGAAATTTCAATTTTGTATAACAAAGAAAATGAAATAAATTAATAAAATAATACGATTAAAATACGGATTTTCACTATATTATTTTGTTTTCTAAATCTCCGAGTGTTTGATTTATTTTCAAGCTACGCGAATTAAAATACGAGCCACAGACATAAAAGGTTGATTGGTTTCAGGAAGCTTAATTAAGTTCTTCTGCAAAGTCACAGTCTTCTCGAACTTTTACGATTTGTGGTTGGAAAATATGATTGTTATATCCTTTTGCTTTATTTTTCATCTCACAAAGAACATTTATATAGATAAAAGCATTTTCAGGTACTGTTAATAATAATTCATATTTCACAGGATTCACAAGTAATTTTTAAATTTTGAATTTTAAATACATAAATTAAAATATAATATTTCAAATTGTCAGTTTTAATATTAAAAATATTTCTAAATTTAAATTCGAATAATATAGCCCACACAATTTTCTCTCCGATAAGTAAAATCTCGGGAAAAAAGTGATTTTATCATTTTTGAAGCTTCTACATGATTCACATATATTTCATATATTGCCCGAAGATATATATTTTTAAACTATAATAATCCACCGTCAGAGAAGCCATAAAAAATGTTTCATTTTCAAATTTCGATACAGAAATATTTTCCCAAAAATAATAATAATATTTATGCAATTGAAAATTTTAAGAATTTTTTTTTTAAATTATCAATTAACTCTTGTTTAATTTTCTTTTATTGAATTTCATAAACTTCAATTTTAAATTTCAAAGTTATAAAGTCAATAAAAATAAAAGAATAAAGTTTTAACAGATAAAAATATAAAAACTGGCTTTCTATGGATCCATTAAAATATTGTTTTTACTATAATATTTATTTTGAAAACAATTCAGAAAAACAAATTTTCCCATTACTTTATTTTTAGAAACAAAATAAAAAAAAATTTCCCTTTTTAAACAATTATTTAAAGAAAAATTAGTTATTATTTTTCTGGGTTAATTTTATGTAAAAAAAAATTGTTGACACATTAATTCCAAAAAATTGTATACCTATATATATTATTAAAAAAAAAAAAAAAATACAGTATTTGCGAGTTCTTACTTCGTCAACTTTTGTAACAAGTCTGTCATGAACTAAATAAGTTTATTATAAGGTACTCGAGAGACTTTTCCCGCATTCTGTTTTCTGCATTACGAGTATTTCACCTTTATAACGATCCGATGTTTATCTTATGTCGTGCACGCCCTCCATTTACATGTTAACGCAACCTGCAGCTGCAGAACTTATTCAAAAACTTATTTTAACTATTATGTATAAATAAGGAATACATTTCATTTTGAATTTCAAGTTTCTCATTTTCTATTATTTTTCAAAAAAAGAAAAAAAAATCATATTATTTTTCACGTACAAATAATTTCAGTAGTAATGCTCCATATTTGGATCAGACAAAATATTACTAAATTATCATTTAATATATTTTAAATTATTTTTACTTTTACAGAAAATAATAAAATTTTACTAATTATATTAATAATTAATCTTTCTAATTAATTTTCATAATTAATTTTAGCCTGTTTTTACATGAATTTGTAATAATTTATCAAATTTCAATTAAATTTATAATTAACCAAATTTTCTTCCCATGAAAATAAAAATAAATTCCAATCTTTTTTATTCGCGAAATTAATTATATAACAAATTAAAATAATTCTAATTTATAAATAAAAAATATATTCCTAAATTTTAATTCGTAAAAAAATAATTTGAGTATTTTTATAAAAAAAAAAAATCATCAATGAAAATTGCATTTCATCTTAAACAATGCTTATTTTATATATTAACTAAAATTCCATGGCTTCATAAAGCACATAATGTATGATGTTACTTTGCGTCTAATTACAACACTTCGATCGTAGTTTCTCCGACGGTTGGAGCGTCAAGGGTAATTATATATTTTGCTCCTTGGGATGTTGCCTATATAGTTTTACGTTGTAAAATCACCCCTCCACCCCTTGCCCTTATCACTGAGCTTTTTCAGTTGCATTCACAGTCAATAGGAAACCCTACTTCACATCTCAAGTATTCTATCTCCTTTCATGATAATATTACTTTTTCGCCAGTAAAATTATATTAAAATTTATGTATTAGATTTATTTTTCAAAATTGTAAGTACCGTATATTTGATTACGTTTTTATTTATATAGAAATATTCGAGAAATTTTATAGTTGAAACAAATTTAAAAAAATCCATTTTCGTATCCATTTTTTATAAAATACAAAAATAAATATAAATAATAATGAAAATAATAATGATATTATTAATAAAAATATTGAAAATAATAATAATAGTAATAATAATAAGTAATAATAATAATAATAATAATAATAATAATAATTTTGAGATAACAATAAATAAAATAATTTGAATTACAGACAATTATTTAAATTTCAATAATAATTGTTATACCTTTATTGCAAATATATTGCGACTTTAATCGCCTTAAATTTTCAATATAGAATTTCTATGTCCTCATATATAACAAAAGAATCTTTATAGAAATTGTAATTAAAGGGACAAGAAACTTTTTTTTTTATTATTTGTAAATGGAAAAAAAAAATTGTTTTTAATAACGGAATTTTTATGTATGTC